TTTTCCATCCCTTTATTTTGAGTCTATGTGTGTCTTTGTATGTGAGATGGGTTCTGACTTTTTATCCAGTTTGCCATTCTGTGTGTTTTGATTGGGGTGTTTAGTCCATTTACATTCAATGTTAATATTGTTATGTGTGGATTTGATCCTGCCATTTTGTTACTGGCTGGTTTTCTTTTCCATTAGTTGACTCATTTTCTTCATTCCATTTTTGGTCTTTGCCCACTGGTTTGCCTTTGCAGTGACTGGTACTTGTTCCTTTCCATGCTTAGTGTTTCAGGAGCTCTTGTAGGGCAGGTCTGGTGGTGACAAAATCTCTCAATAGTTGCTTGTCTGTAAAGGATTTTATTTCTCCTTCACTTACAAAGCTTAGTTTAGCTGGATATGAGATTCTGGGTTGAAAGTTCTTTTCTTTAAGGATGTTGAATATTGGCCCCCACTCTCTTCTGGCTTGTAGGGTTTCTGCCGAGAGATTGTGAGTCTGATTGGCTTCCCTCTGTGGGTAACCTGACCTTTCTCTCTGGCTGCCCCTTAGCATTTTCTCCTTCATTTCAAACCTGGTGAATCTGACGATTATGTGCCTTGGGGTTGCTCTTCCTGAGGAATATCTTTGTGGAGTTCTCTGTATTTCTTGAATTTGAAAATTTGGACTGCCTTGCTAGGCTTGGGAAGTTCTCCCATATAATATCCTGGAGCATGTTTTCCAGCTTGGATTCATTCTCCTCATCATATTCAGGTACACCAATCAAGCATAGATTAGGTCTTTGCACATAATCCCATATTTCTTGGAGGCTTTTTTCACTTCTTTTCACTTTTTTCTCTCTTGTCTTGCCTTCTCTTCTTATTTCATTGAGTTGATCTTCAATCTCTGATATCCTTTCTTCTGCTTGATCGATTCAGCTATTAAAACTTGTGTATGCTTCAGGAAGTTCTTGTGCTGTGTTTTTCAACTCCATCAAGTCGTTTATGTTCTTCTTTAAGCTGGTTATTCTAGTTAGCATTTTGTCTAACCTTTTTTCAAGGTTTTTGGTTTCTTTGCATTGAGTTAGAACGTGTTCCTTCAGCTCAGAAAAGTTTGTTATTATCCACCTTCTGAAGCCTGTTTCTGTCAATTCGTCATACTCCTTGGTCAAGTTTTGATCCTGTGTTCTTGAGTTGTGATCCCTTGAAGGAGAAGAGGTGTTCTGGTCTTTGATGGTTTCATCTTTTTTGCACTGTTCTTTTCCTATCTTTGTGGATTTGCCTGGCTGTGTTGTCAGGGAGCTGCTTGATGAGGTCACTTGTCTGCCTGTGGAGGTGCTACTGGGTTTCTAGGGACTCCTTCAGGTTACTAGGGAAGCTTCCTGTGTCTTTTTTGTTTATACTGGGAGATTAGGCCCGCCTCTTCTGCTGACCTGTAGGTGCTGCTGCATTGTCAAGAATGCTGTCCCATTGCTACATAGGTTTCCTGTGTTTTTTTAAAAATGTGTAGCCCAGTCCCACCCCTCTAGTGGTAGGTTGTGCACTTCCTCCGCTGGGCTGGATCATTCAGGGTTCATGACAGACTGTGGCACTGGCTGCGCAACCCACTAGAGTCAGAGCTTCAGCCCTCTGGGGTTTGTGGGGGAGGGTAGGGACTCACCCAGCTGCATCCAGCCATCTCCCCCTTTCAGCTTCCTCTCTTTCCAGTCATGGGGTAGGGGCCTGCCCAGCTGCTCCCACTTACAGCTCCCTCTCTCTCCGGGTGGGGGGAAGGGGCAATAGCTCATTCCGCAGGCTCTTATTCAACTCCACGCTTGTAATTCCTGGCACTTGACTGGCAAAGATCCCCTGTTCTGTGTGTTGCTGAGACTTTGGGGGAAGCACTGTATCTGGACTGGAGCACCAGAGGGGGAGCCTCCCACTCGCGGTTCAGATGCACTTTCTGGGTGAAGCAGCACCCCTCCTTGTCTTGGTCTGCCCTGAGTGGGCTTTGCTCACCATCTGACCAGACCCATTGAAATGTACCTGGTACCTCAGTTAGAACTAGAAGATCTCTGGGTTTCTACATCTCTCTTGCTGGGTGTTGTGCACTGGAGTTGTGTCTTATCGGCCATCTTGGATCTTCCCTTCATCCCTTTGAGTCTATGTGTGTCCTTGCATGTGAGATGGGTCTCTTGAATATAGCACACTGATGGTTCTTGGCTTTTTATCCAATTTGCCAGTCTGTGTCTCTTGACTGGGGGGGGGGGGGCATTTAGTCCATTTACATTTAATGTTAATATTGTTTTGTGTGAATTTGATCCTGCCATTTTATTACTGGTTGGTTGTTTTGACCTTTGGTTGGTGTAATA